TATCAGGGAGAATGTGATTTAGCTGCTGTTGGAGACAAAATAAATATGGCCCTCTTTTGTTTTTCAGTATTTTGAATCTTTTAAGTATTTTTCTGTGTTATATTTTCTCTTTGGTTACTCTTCTTTATCTTTTACTTCCTTTGTTCCTCCTGTAATAAATGTAATAGCTGCTGTGATACCAAAATGTCCCCACTTAGGGAGAATAAAGGGATGTTCTATTCTATTCTATTCTATTCTATTCTATTCTATTCTATTTTTCCATGGCCTAACTGAAACTGAAGCAGTTGTCATATTTTGCACAGATTATGTTCAAAGTTCAAGTGTGCATGATAGGAGATGTGCGATGTCGGCTACCTAAAAGACCCTGTATTTGTTGAGCTTTAGACTATATCGTTGTAGCGGATATCGGGGAACTACTTTTCCATGTGGCGCCATATTAATTTAGCTTTTAAATCCTCAATCATTTACAGCAAAAATCTGTCAAGGAGAAGGTACTTTTTGGCTGTATGACTCCAACCATCAAAGCTACTGAGTCTCCAGGATCACAAAATGTTTCTGAGGGGGGGGCAAAAAATTAAATGCTTGATCTCCTGCGGTGTAGCGGGAAGTCATGGGAGCTTGCAGTTGTATTGTTTGTTTGGAGTCAGGTTTCCTTTCTTTCTCAGCTAAGGAGGATTAAGCTTGTCAGCGGCGTGCACACCGACTGAGCCTTCTCTTCGCCACTACACACTCCAGCAATCAGGCAGGCTGCCAAACAAACAGATGAAGTCAACAGAGAGACGTTTCCTCATGTCTTCTGAGATGTGACTGCAGCAGATGCAGTGCTGACACCGGCGCTTGACACAGTGTGACAACCTACTGTGTCTACACAGCCAGATCCGCTTTGACTTATTTTGAAAAAGAAAAAAGGAAGAAGAGGGGGTATGTGTGTGTGACACTGTGCACATGATCACACACGAGATAATGTTTGTCAGCAGCAATAGTTGTGTCGCTGTGTAGGGTACAAAGACTGACAACAGGGGTTGATTTCATGGCACAGTCGTGTTTAGTCCTTGAAAGAATTGTTTGCTGCGAGAGCTTTGACAAGACAGAGATCAAAATCCAGTACTTTAAATTCAATTTTCTGTCCTCCTTTGCCACCCAAATAGACAATCTGAAAGCACTGCATGCTGGTTAGTGGAGTTCCCCGGTGTGGAGCAGCTTGTGGGGATGGAATGAGGTATCTGTATCCAGGTAATTACAGTCTGAGGGGGCACAGGGGTCCTCTGTGATTACACATCAGCTCTGTAATGGATTCAACACTTACAGATGTAGCGCGGGCTGCATGCCTTACCTTCTCCTCACTGTGACAGCAGGGGACGAGGCGGGGCGGGGAGCCGGCAAGGTAGGGTGGGCCGGCTAGGTATATCTGCAAGATGGATTACGTGGGGTTTGCCGAGTTCAACATTGACACAGATTCATCGTAAATCATTATGCCGGGGACCCGGAGTGATTTCTGCATTAGGAGCAGAAAATGGAGTTCATCCAGTCAATGAGGGAGGGCATATTTCACATCAATCACCTCCACACTCATGTTGCCGAGGCTTAAATCTCACTTATGCTGCTACCAATGAGGTTCAATGGCTGTGATGACAATCAGCAGGACTCTGCGTTAACAGTAGCCTACTGACTAGAGAGAGGGCAGAGCACGGGGCTGTGGTGCAGCTCGTTTTGACTAAATAATATATGAACTGAAATTGAGCAAAAGCAGGTTTCATGATAACAAGGCTTACAATTACATTTGCTTTTCAGAACTTTACTGCAACCATTTCATTTCAGTTTCATAAATACTTACTTTTGGCGATGGTCTTTTTCAAGACGAATGAAATAAAAGTACTTTCCGAAGTATGTGTCAGGTGACTGAAGTTCTGGTTTCTTTTTACGTGTTTTTCCATAATGGGCTTGAAAATGCACAACTAATTCAGTATAACAATCTAAAAGCAAATGCTGGCCTGTGTGTGACAAGTTATGTTTTACAGACATCCTAATCAAGTAAATTACAGAAATGATCAAATTCAGATTCCTGGTCAAAAAGCACCTCCTATTATGATAGTTCATTGAATGGCAGTGAAAGTTAGCTCATAAAGAAAAAGGTAACACTTAACAATAAGAGTTCCTTTATTAATGTAACTTATTGCATTATTAAGCATTAATGAACTATCAAACGAAATATTAACAGCTGCTTCATCCTATTATGTAATACATTGTGAAGCAGACACACCCCCTGGCCCTTTGTCCTACTGTTGAGGACACTTAATAGTTAACAATAACAGTAACGTTATAAAGTAAAGCTAATAAAGGGACCCTTATTGTGAAGTGCAACCAAGAAATTTGTTGATTTATTTATTTACTTATATTTCTAGAGGATTAAACCCTTTGAGATGCATCATCTTGTTTTCAAGAGGTCCTCTGGAATAAATGAATAAATTAAACAAGGACAAAAAAGTCCCATTTATCATCATTTCTCTAACCTTATACACATTTTTATACCAAATACTTCTCAGTAGATATGTTTAGTTGATCTCAGTTACAACGGAGTTCAAGCAAGTTCTTTAGTGAGTTGTGAAAAGGCAACAGCATACAAAAAATGTGAAATAAAACCAATCACGACATTTAAAAGTTTCCTGAACAATAGATTTTCAGACGGACTCTGTTCACAGGCGGTTTTATCAACTCCACCATCCAGCCCCTTCACCCCTTGGATCCCAACATTGAAGGCTGTCAGATTCAATCCAACACACCTTTTATATATTTCACAAAACGAGGTACTTGCACTGTATTCTCCCTTTTATTTATTAGTACAAAACTAATGGAAACTGTCTCTGGACACAAATCGGTGTTAGTGTTTGAGCTGGTATGTGGGTTTTGATTTGAGACTGGTTATTATTTCACAGAGTACTCTTATGTTGTTCTGAGATCAGTAAAACGGCAGAGGACCACCTGCTGTTGCTCTACCTCCTGTTACGCTCCAATCAGTTAGCAAACAGCAAAGATTCACAAGCTCAAATCCTCATTAGATCTCTGCAAATTACAGCTAGGAATGAAACTGTCAGTACCGATCATCCAATACTCAATATGTATTCATGATTTAAACGTTAGATTTGTTCCTTTTTTAAATGCAGGACTGGTTCACGTAACTGGACAAAGCAGTTTAGCAGGCTGAGTATTTTGTTTGCGTCGGAAAGACATTAGTGGTGAAACATTTAGTTTAAAAATGATATTTTTTATTATTTTCAATTCTTCCTTAAAGTTGTCACCTTTCTGCATCATAGAATAATCACAAATTTGAAGGACAGCTCCTATTTTGGAGATCCGATTTCCAACGTTTTTTTTCCAATAAAATGTTTCATTAGCTTACATGTATTCAGTGTTAAAACAGCCTAAATATGTGTTGCGGCTGTTTCTCCTTTTCATTTTTTTAAATTAATATTTCTATAAACAAGAGCATATAAGACTGATCAGAGGGCTGTCAATTGTATTGGAGGGGCCTTTGCCCCCATTGCTTCCCCCTTGGTGGCGCCACTGATCGTTTAAGAAATTACATTTACCTGGTTACGGTTATGCTTCCTACAGAATTTTGTGATGACTCAAAACTCAATAAATAAAACAAAGATTTAAATAAAGCAGCCCACCCACCCCTCCCTGGAACAGAGCTACACCTCCCGGAAAAAGCAACAAACATCTCGCAGTAAGGCTGGGCGAGAAACCAGAAATGTATCGTTATCTAACTGATATATTTTTTTCAGTCTATAAATTCGATAATAAAAAAAAAAGGTGTGTGTAGTTGGCGACTTAATGTTCTTTGAAGAAGCTGTACTACTTGAACTCACATGACAAATGTGACTCAACATGATACACATGACAGCTCCATCTAGTGGACAACTTTTTACAGTTATCGTCTGTTTATTGTTATCAAGGTGAACTCCTCCACATATTGGGACATTGGTTTGGGGCCAAATCACCCAGCCCTATCTTGCAGTACTTATCACATCCCAATCACTGCCTCTTCGAGCTGTTGCCATCAGAGAGATACAGAACAGTTTTTATCAAAGAGCCATTGTGGACTTGATCTCCCAATAAAGGAGTGTGCTATAGAGGCCCCAACTAAACCAGTGTAATACATATATGTCTATATTGATTGATTGATTGATTCAATTTATTTAAGTGTCATACACCATAAAGGGTGCCCAGCCCACACGGGCTTATTAGACACTACAACATTCAATAAATCATAACATGGCTGCGTGATACAGATTAATACACAACATTGCTAAACAAACACAACTATGACCACATATCTATAAGTAGAATATTTGTATTTGTATTATTTGTATTCTTTTTTTTAATCTTCCTGTCTCTTTTATTGACTGAACCCACTAATTTCATTGTTCTTTGTAAAATGTGACAATAACTTAAAATATTTGATTTGTCACAGGAGGAACACAAAAAAACCCTCAAAGGTGCAAAAACATGGACTTAAAGTGCTAAAAAACCACTGCAGTTTTCGTGACTGTTGGTGTTTGAGTTCATTAATAATATACATTAAAACTTTGCTTGCCTGATCATTTTTAAATATTTGAGTGATTTTCTATGTTTAAATCAACTTTCCTTGTTACATATATTCATTTTAAAAATCGAAACTTTTTTTTATTGTTTTGTGTGACATTTTTCATTATATTATGTTGGTTTGGGATCAACTTTAGGTGGTTTAGGTTTTTTTTAAGTAGATGGACATCTCAAAAAGCAGAAACCCAGAATGCTACTTTTATTTTTAATACTATTAAAAGTGATTGCAAACAGTGATAGTTGCCCCATTGTGAGAAACTTCCAGGAAACACTTTGTACTCATTAATGCAACCTAGACTGAAAAAGCGCCTATATTTGTATTTAATCTGTTGATATTTCAACTTCTCCTCCATTTTTGAGCTTCATTTGAGCAGAAATCGCTTCAAGGAGGGCTTTGTTTTCCTCTCTGCCGCCAGGGAAGCGAAGGGAGAACAGTGGCTTCTCTGGCTGCCTCTGCAGGAATCCGGATATGATGAAAATGTTTCAGACGTGAGTAAACTAAACTGCTTGCTGCCGCAGAGAGCGTCGAGGGCGTCGAGAGGATCATGTTTTCTTCTCCCGTGTGTCCAAAACCAGCTGGAACAACGGCCACTGCAAACTTTTCCCGCTTGAAATAAAAAGAAGAGAAAGTTAGAGGCGACGTTTTGGGACTCGCTCGTCCGCTAGGAAGGAGGAGGATGGGGAGAAGTCAGATTTGAGGAGTTGACATGTTTGAAAGGTGAGTTTTACTGCGTCATTAAACGACGTTAGCTTCAAAACGCACTTAGCGAGAGTTTGTCGTTTACTGAGGACAAGTTTGTCGGCTTTTATTTGGTTTTTATGTTGTTAAGAGAAAAAGTGAAGGAAATTTTCCACTCGACGTCACGTTCTCGTAACTTTCCACGAGTTTTGCCTCAATGTGATTTTTAACAGCGCGAAAGGTCGAGGATAGAAGAGGGGGACTACTTCTGTGGTGTGTTTTTGTCCCCTTGAAGAAGACTGTCTCATGTCCAAGGAGGCTGTCCATCCTTCAGACGGGCCGGCGGGGCCAGAAAACGGCCCCCGGCGAGAGGCAAGTCCCCTGCTGTCAGTGTCACACGGTAAGAGCGCACCAGACAGGCCATTAATCAGCAGCTTTAGATAAATGTAGGTTAAAGTCAACTTCTGGAGCTCCAGCAGGGCTTTTCAGAGGCTCCCATAGGTGGTTCGTCAGGACTTCATTTATATTTCATTAAATCAGTGATGAAAAGAGAGAAAGCTGAAAACTGGTCACTTTTGGTCAAGTTTGCCCCATTTTGTGTTAAAAGTTCTCTGTTTTTGTTTTTCCCTTCTAATGCAGCAAGCAATAAAAAGGCTATAAATATAAAGTGACTCATTTTGATTGCACAGTACAATTTAAAAAAAAAAGCCAAAACAGAGCTAGACTATTAGGAGTCACTAGATTACAGCATATCTGCCTGAGACAATCTGCCTATTTAAATAAAAATTAAATTATATTCATGCAAGTTCATCAGGATCTGTCTTAAGCCTTGATAATGTTTGTGCTTTTTCCCCCTCTATAAAGTCTGAAGAAACACCCTCTTGACTATTAACAGCAACCACAGCCAATTATAGTTTTTAATTAACTTTCCAGTTGCCCCTAAGATTATCACATGTAAAATAATCTTACTCCCACACCCTGCTTTTCATTTTTCTTCAAACAAGCAATGAACCGTTAACCGAGCATCATTACGGCACTGTCAAAAATAGTCAAGTAGGACAAAATAAGCAATCACAGGGACTGCTGGATTGTGAATGGATTTTTTCTTTTTTTCATTGGGCTTGACTTTTCGTTGACACTCTCTGGGGACTCTGTGGATGTTCTGAGATTAGCCCGGTTTATTTCCAACTAAATTACTAAATACTGTGATACTTCTACTAGCACAACTGCTACTATCCATCAGCTCAGAGCGGAAATGTGTCGTTTTATCCAGAGCTTGTGAACTGCACCCATCTGTTTCACACCATCGTTCGTCATTGCCTACAAACAGAGCTGTTGCTGCAGTCGAGCAAAGCTGTAAAAGCTATAAAAGTCATTCTGCTCCAATTTCTCTGCAGGACTTCAGTGTTTTTGTGCTAAAACTTTCAACTGAACAGCTCTCAGGAAGGGCTGTAGGCTATGAGAAGGGCACCTGGCACCAGAGCAGTGAATATAGTCTTTGTGTTTGGTTTATTTACAGAAGAAATGCAAAGCATAACAGTTTTGAAGTGGAGAAGCCAGTGGACACATCTTGGAGATGAGCACCTCTTGTGTCTTTTGCGTGGCTATCAGGCCGAGCGTTTTCTTTTTTCTTTTGCTCACATACTTTTTCCAATTTAGATGAATGCAGCCTTTATGGCAGTAAAAGAATCTTGGCAGCTCGAGCACACCCGGGAGCGTGAGGAGTGAAAATGAGATCTAGAGCTCTGGCAAGGCCTTTACCTGAACCTCCCCACCATGTTGAGCAGTTTGCCAGTAGATTGTTTTTTCTGGCGAAAACAAACCGAGCACACTCCAGCTTGACCCTGAAATTCTGTTCACTTGGACCAAACCTGCAGTGGATGAACTGTAATCGCATAACGTTAGAAAAACCTGCTTTGTAAGCCGTTAGTGTTTCATTACTGATGAAAAGATATATTTTCTCATCTCAATCTTTATCTAACATTGAATTTTTGTGACCCTAGATGCTTGTGACAGTGAATCATCAGAAAATGCATCGTCTCCCAGGAAACCAGCAGCAGAAGGACAAAGTCATGTGACCGATCAGAAGCCTAATTATTGCGAGCCTGTAAGAAGTAAGTTTTAACGACCTGGGAGAACAGTGGGTGGACAGCACGACATTTTTGTAGCGTTTGCACCGATAAACAACAATGAGCTGTTTTAATTGGAGTGAAGTCAGTTAACTGGCTCTGTTTGTGCTACCAGATGGCTAAGCTGCAATGATTTTTAAATATTGCTCCACTTTTTAATAAAAGGTGTTGTGTAGCCTATACTCGAGGGTCGGTGTCAGTTGGTTCACTAAGATAATTGTTTCAGTGTGAAGTGATCTTTGGATAGAAGCTAGGTTTGTTTGATTCTTAATGTCCTGCAGCGCTTCTCCATGAGAGGGTGTGTGTGTGTCACGCGCTCTATCCCGCAGCGCTCCTCTGTGAGAGCGGCGGTGGGGGTGGGGTGGTTGCACACGTTCCGCTGCTGTTTCTCACCAGTATCAGCTGATGGAAGGATCTAGTTTCGTTGCGCCGTTCGTGTCGGTGGGCACGGTAGGGTCGTGGAGGGGGGTGGGGCATGACGCTTAGCCTGGCGGGTGGCCAAGCAAAGCCTGGCAGGCCGCCTCATGCCCCACCCCCGTCCACGACCATACCGTGTCCGCTGACAGGAACGGAGCAACAAAACTAGAGCCCTCCATCAGCTGATACTGGTGAGAAACAGCAGCGAAATGTGTGCAACCACCCCAACCCTGCTCTCACGGAGGAGCGCTGCGGGACGGAGCGCGCAACCCCTCCCCCCTCGTCTGACGGCCGCCCAGCTTAACTCATTTTCCTGCGGGAAACCCTGCATATCGTATATTTCTTGTCCAGAGGAAAATAAAATCTATCATGTTACACAAAAGTTATGATGATGTAATGGCATCTACTGTAGATCACATGGGTCATGCACAGTGGAGTTATTAGTTATCAGGGCAAACGGTATTGGCTCATATCAGCGATTATACTGTAATGACTCACAGTCTCTGGTTGCTCTTTTCTGAGTATTATTATTGGGCTACTGTCGCCTTAACCCACGCCTTTCAAACTCTCAACTTTTTCAACAGAATCGCTTTTAACGGAATATTTACTAGCATAGCAAACCACAGCGGAAAAAGCCGGAACCGGCACAACATTTCTCACCCGTTGAGCTCGCCTTCAAAATAAAACGTTAACCTACTATTCAACCCCCTACAATATGTTTGGGGTACAGTAATTTGGCCACTCCTGCACTCCGTAGATGTGTCCTGATGATACAAGGGAGGGAGGGGTTTGGCTCGTCTCCGGCTCTGCACAAGCAGGATGGATAAACAGAACTCTGTTGAATTCAATTCAGTTTATTTATATAGCGCCAAATCACGACAAGAGTCGTCTCAAGGCACTTCACTCAGTAAACATTCCAATTCAGGTCAGTTCATTAAGCCAATCAGTAAAAAGTTTCCTATACAAGGAACCCAGCAAATTGCATCGTCACTGACTGGTGTAACTGACTTTACAGCAATCCTCTTACTAAGCAAGCATTTAGCGACAGTAGAGGGGAAAACTCCCTTTTAACAGGAAGAAACCTCCCGTTGGCGTTGAACGTCCCCAAATAATTAAAAACCAGGAAGCCAAATGCAAAGTTTAGTGCATCACAATTACCCAGAGACTCTCAAATTGAGCAAACTTGTGAGAATGCATGTAATAACCGCTTAGAGATGGAGCAACTAGTCGCTAGCATAGCGGCTAATTGCTAGCATAGCAGCTAATTGCTAGCATAGCAGTTTGACCAGTTATATTGATATAAAGATATAAAGTCATCTTGTTTAAAAATTATATTGATGTTTGAAAAATATTGATATAGCGCCCAGCCCTACTAAGCATAAATTTAAACACACCCATCCACTGTAATGCTGGCTATTAGCTGTGTTCTACGCTCAACAATAATTCAATAATGATAAGTATCTATAACCGTGTGGCGCGATAGAAATAAAAGATCAAGAAAAAGTTTACACCTGCTGATGTAAATTGTTCTCTGCAGCTTGCTTAAAAGGTAATGTCCTGTTAGTCATCACACACTGGTGGAATATGTTGTCCACATTCGACCCATCCCCATGGGGAACGGTGAGCTGCAGACACGGCCGCGTTTGGGAACTATTTAATCCCCCAAACGAACCCCTTAAAAGGAACTCTGGCTATGAGGACGTGCATGCGCTAATAAGCTACAATTTTTCTGTTGTACCAAACTATTTTGTTAGAAACACAAAATATTGCTGTTTATTTATAAACCTATAATATTTAGTACATTTTTGGACATATGTAAGATGCCATGTTCTCCGCATGAAATGCACTCTGGGGGCAATGACATATACTGGTTCTACTTGGAAGAATAGCTATTGACGCTAGTGTTTGTTTACGCATTCACCATATTAATAATTAAGTAAAATGCCGCATTGTGCTGCTTTTGGATGTAATTTCCAGTCAGAGGACAACAAGGGGAGTGATTTGAGTTTACACAGCATTCCCACTGACAAGAAGAGGAGAAAACAGTGGGAAGATGCCTGTGGACAGACACAACTTCCCAAAGATCCGCAGCTGTGTTCCCAACATTTTTCTCCTGATGTGTTTGAGGCTTATAGTCGACCACAACTACATAAAGAGCTCACCAGAGTGGCTGGGTATAAGAGAAGGCGGAAACTAAATGCTTTACCGACCATTTTCCCACACAAGGAGCCTAAACGCCCTCGGAGAGACGAGACGCTGGACGCTCTCCGGAGCCGACGTGCTCCTGCAGCTGCCGCTTCAGTCACGTTCAGCGAACCATCAGACACGCCACTCATCACGTATGAAGCTGAACATTCACCTCTCCTGTCAGTAAAACAAGCAGGAAGTGTACCAATACAGTGTTCTCCAAATATATATCATCTGCAAAAATGATTAAAGTCGTTCCCCTGAATATCCTAATCATCTATAAAGCACACGGCAGCTCTGGATGCTTAAATTCTCCAAAATCATTCATAGTTGAATAAGTTTGATCACACGATAGCTTACCGTTAACTTCTGCTGACAAAAATGTGTGCACTCTCCCTCTCTGTTACCATGGAGATGCATTTGCCGCACACGCACCACCAGTTTAGTCCTCCACTCGCTTCATCCCGCCCTTCTTGCTCTTCATTTTGATGCTCGTTTTGTGAAACATCATCAGTGATGTCCTCATTAATGTTTCGTTCTGGTTCAAATTGAAAAGGCTGAACAGATGACATATTTACGTCGCTGAAAAGTCCCTACAGGGTCCCAAAGCCGGCCGGTGCAACCGACGTACAACCAAATGACATCACTGGCCAGAGTGCATTGCGACGCTGACAATAATGGCGACCTACGAGTTAAAGTATTTTTTCAAATTTTATAAAAATGAAGACATTAAGAAGGTTTTTTTTACACCACTTTAATGTAACTGATACTAACATTTATCTTTTAAGAATCACAAAGTTTTGTAACCTGGGTTCCTTTTAAGGCTGGGTATCATGCGGGGAGACATTGGGTCCCATTATAAAAGTCTTTGGTGTGAAGTTATATTGAGGCTACATGATCTGGAAATAAAGGAACAAAAACATCACCTTAAATGGCCTGTATTAATTTAGACAAATGTTTTTTTGTTTTTTGATGAGAAAAAGTCTTTCAGCACGATTAGTGTGTTTGTTTTTGACCATAACTTCTAAGCCCCTTGCTCACAACCCAAGGTTTAGAGCTGAAAATGTCTCTTGGATGAGAGGTAATAACCAGAAAAGTCCGGATGTTTTCATCTTAAGATGATCATGTCCAGGATGACTGAGTATCTACACCTACATGCTTTGTTAGTTTTATTTTGAAGGGCAGTTCAGTGGGTGGAAAGGGTTGTTTCTGGTTCCGGTCAGCGGCTGTTGTGCTATGGAAAGCCACACTGTTGTAAAGTCTTCTGTGGATAAATGGAGAAGTTGGAAGTCGTGGGTTACTGCCAACAGTTGTCTAAATTAAATACCCATAAACAAATAACCCGAGATAGACAGAGTCGTTACGTTAATAGATTTATTAATTTATTTATTACTCGTAGTGGATGCTAGCGGGCTGAATGCGGTGTCGTCCACCACAGAATGGCATCAATCATGATGACTTTCGTTACTTTTCTGGTTAGTTGGTTTGGTTTCTGGTGGTCACACTCATGCAGGTGGTGAGTGTAGCTGCGTCTAACTGTTGACTGCTTCAACTGTCTTTTTTTATTTCTGCAGGTTAGTAACAAAAACGCCCCTCTCTCCAAGCAGCGTTTGTTCTTTCATAGTCCTATTAAATCTGCTGTGTTGACACATTTTAAGGAGCGTCCTCTGCGTCTTTACATCACTCACACACAGAGTAAAAGTAACACTTGCTGCTGCGCGCAGGCGCCTGAGGGTGACGTGATGCTGCAGCTACACACAGGTTCTGTCGGCTGCAGTGACGTGTGATCTTCTCTAAAAGGAGTAGATCGGATATCGGCCGAGCAGGTGTTTTTCTCAAAAATCGGCTGATTTAAATCAGTGGCTGATCAATGGGAAATCCCTAATACCATTAGGCCACTGAGCTGGTAAAAATGTGAACTCTTGAGTGTTTTAGGCTTATTTAGAAAATGTCTGCTATAAAAACTTTGAGCTTCTAAGACAAAGTCTATTTGTGATCAAAAGTCCATTTTTCTGAAGTTAACCATATACAACTAGCCTAGTGAACTAGACCAAATTCTTGCTTTGCAAAGTTTGGTCTAGGCACACTCCATTGGAACCTCAGTAGCTCCTACCAGGACTCTGGCCAGCCAATCACAGCTCTCTAGAGGGGTTTCAAACACTTAAAGAGCTGTGATTGGTCCATAATGGTGGGCCAATCATAGTACTCTATCTGCTTAGTGAACAAATCACAGAGCTTTATCCACTTTGTGGGCCAATCAGGGCACTCTATATGCCTGGTGGGTGGGATGAAGCAACAGAGTGAAACAAGAGTATGTCACATTCATTGTCCAGTGGAATGCGGAGATGATTTGAAAGACAACGGTAGAACCCACCCCACAA